CTCTCGACAGGGGGAGCTAATGTGTGGCTTATTTCCTTTGCTTGCATGCATTGACACTCGGTGCATTTGGATCCTAAAGCCACTAGCAATCATGGACAAGAAGAGGTTGTGAGTGACACTACTCATGTGTGTCCTCAACCTAGCAATCTGGGGGATGGTAATGAGTGTACTCAAGATGAAAGTCACGAGGAGGTTCCCACTTTGCCTCCTACAAGGCGTAAACCTATGTGTGCTCAACAACCTCCAGCAAGGCTTCGAGACTATGTCACCTTTACTTCCAAACACCCTATCACTGAGGTGTTGAAGTATAGTAGTGTCTTCCCAATCATACTACGTTCCTGGCTAAAATTTCCCATCACATTGAACCACAAACCTTTCAAGAAGCTCAACTAATTCCTGAGTGGAGAAATGCTATGAAGAATGAACTTTGTGCCTTGGAGAACAATCAAACATGGAGCATTTTGAAGTTACCATCAGGGAAGAAATCTGTTAGGAGTAGATGGATCTATAAGATAAAGTTCAAGACTGATGGATCAATTAAACGTCACAAGGCCAGATTGGTTGCGTGTGGTTTTACTTAGACATTTGGAGTAGACTACAAGGAGACATTCGCTCCAATAGCCAAAATGAACTTTGTTAGGGTTCTTCTTTCAGTGGCTGTGAATTGCCGCAACTAGTGAATGCTCTTATGTCAACGAGGTTACCAAACCAAAGCAAGCAGCCACTTCCTCCCTCCACGATATCTAGATCTGCATACGCTTTACTTGAGCAGTTTTCTAAACATAATCGCCTACATCCATTGAGGCTCATGCTTTTATTAAGCCATAAAGATGTGTCTGGCAATTTAATCCCATTGTACTTGAGGAAGCCATCTCCATGGTTGTAGGCCAACAAAATCTTTTGAATGCACTTATCAGACCAATATCCTGAGTTCTAATCTTTTGGAGATTTTGGTGCAAATCCCTTCAAGCATGCACATATGGGAGCACGATTGATATTGCAAGTAGTATATACACCACACAAGACATAAGTTTCACACTGATCTGCATGGAATGTAAGGGAAAATTCCTAACTCTGTGTTTGGTGAATTGTTATTAGCACTCCAAAAATCTCATTTTGACACACCCCGATTGAGATCAGGGCATGCTGGCCGTCACGTGGAAGTGACGTAACCATGTGCACAGTGCAGAAGCTAATAAAATAATAATAAAAGTACGAATAAATAAAAACCAGCTTTACACAAAATAAGAACATACATGTGCAAGCGTAAGTGTGAAAAACAAAGTTCAGAGCTCGAAGACCTAATGCAGTCCGGAAGAAATAACACTACAAAAACACACCCAAAGGTGGTCCTACACTGGTGATAATCTGTCAGATATGCCGGGGAAATCCTCTGGGGAGCCACCAAAAGTGCTAGCCAACTAGAACCTGGAGGGGCGCAAAAGAAAAAGTGTGAGTGGGCAAAAACAAAGCTTTTCAAAAACCATTTCATAAACAAGATTCTAACCCCTCGCCGTAAAACCTGTATACTTCCCAAAAAAATAGAGTATACATATATATAAGTCATGCTCAGAAATATGCCATGCCAAAGGCCTCGAAATAAAATGCAAGTGCTCAGGTAATGTCAAATCAATGCCATGTAATCTGTCAGCCGGAGTCACCTAACGTGACCTGTACAGCTGAATCTAGAGCTCAAATCTCCATCTCACTAACTATACCTGCACACGAGTCGGAACCACCTAGAGTGGTCTGTACGATAGGACTGGGTGTATAATAAGTACGCTTAAGTGCTACGATCACGTGAAGGCTGGGCGACTAATCGCGGGTCACCTACGAGTCGGAACCACCTAAAATGGTTTGTATGACAGGACTGTGCACCTAACTTGGATCCAAGATGAGCGTGTGGTGCGGGAGGTGAACATCACGTGAAGGACTGTGCCCAACTCTGGGCGGGAGCACTGACACCGAGGGTGCAGGTTATGAGCTCTCTATGCATCTCAAATCACTACTGAACATAAACATAAATCATAACTCACCTGACACTTACCTGTGCGTCCGTAGCACCAAACATATATATACATATGCGACTAATAATGCGTAAATAAATGGCAAACAATAAGCATGGCATATAAACGTATAAACGTTTCATTTCACTTTCCGGGAAAAGTATAAGTATATAGGTATATACGGAAAACCAAAAGCCCACTCACTGGTATGTAGAAGGGTCGTAACCCCCTTGCCTCGAGTGACCGCGCTCGTCCTCGGGATAGGTCTCACCTATATGCGAAACAACTATAAAAACGTTAATTTTAAAGCACATAACCAACATCACGAAATAACTTCTCATACAATGCTCAAATGGGGTGTATGAATACACCAACGTGATCTACTCAACCTCAGGAACATCCCCATATTTTTAGAAAAATTTTCTGACGCCGCACGCGCCCCCACGCGCAGGCACGTGCCTTGCACATTGACGGCGTCAGTTAACGTCGTCAAGAATATTCCGTTAAATTTGACGGATTCCGTTAACGCCGTTAGGAATATTCCGTCATCTTCTCCGGCCAAACTCCGGCGTCGTCGCCAGCGCCGGAAAACCGGGAAAACTTCAAAACCTTGTATCTTCTTCGTTTTTCAACCAAATTTCACAAAATTGGTACCAAAATGAAGCTTACAACAAGAGGAACAAATCCATACCACTTTCAAGCACTAAAACCCACGGAATCTCGCCGGGAAAACACCACCAACTCCGGCCAAGCTTGAAACTCATGATCCCGACGTCCAAAACCTTCAAACGAACCACCCCGAGCCTCTTAAGGACCTCACCAAGCTTCCAACAAGCTTGAAATTCCCAAAAATACAAGAATTAACGTGTGCATGAACAGTGACCAAATCGAGGTATCCCGAGTTCGACGTGAAAACGAAGGTATCCTTACCTGAAATGGGTATGGTTGAACTCCCAAGGACCTCACGAGCACGAATATGTAATTTGTTTCCTCGATCTGTGAAGGTTTCAATGGTTTTGGTTGTCGTCCGTACAAGAAGAATAGGAATGGGAGAGAAAGAGGGCTCGGGACAGGGCAGGGAGAGAGGGTGAGTGAGTGTGGTGTGTGTGTGGTCCAAAACCAGCCAAGCAACACCCAAAAACAACCACACAACGAAACAACCATAATAGGGGCAAAATCGCCATTTCACCCCTACGGTTCGAAAATACGGAACGGGCTGTCACACATTTGGCACTCCAAATTTTCTATAATTAGAAGGAAAAATACACTTGTGCAAAGTGTAGAATGAGATTTTTGGAGTGCTAATAACAATTCCCTAAATATATCTATTACATATTACGTAAATTACATATTAATTCATTATTATTTATATAATAATTAATTAATATGTAAATTTTTAAAATTTTTAATAATAAATATATATATATATAATTAATATAAAATTATATAAAATATAAAATAATAAATATCTATATATAATAAATATATTTTATATTCTAATATATTCTAAAGATTTTAGTTTATATAAAGATATTATAAATTAATAAGTTATTATATTATTAATTAATAAGTTATTTAATAAATTCAAAAATTTAATTTTAAATTTACGTGGTATTGATTTAGACTTTCGCAAATAGACTTATAATTTATGGTATCTAATAAATATCCAGATTGAAAATATTCATCGATCTACAAAATTTTCTCATGGAGGTACCTATTTTTTTGCCACATATACCAATATAGAGGCTAAAAGACACTACGATATTAAATTCATATGCGGTCGAGATATTCATGAATTTAATCATTAAAATGCATAAGCTCAATTATACATTCAAGCTAGATGAATTCCCGAAATTTTGGTCAACAATAAAAACTGCTTACCTATGAGTTCACTTATAAAACGTGCAAAGACAATATACTTTTTTACCACAATTCTATGTATTGTGAATTTTTGTCCGCAACTTTTGTGGCATATAGAGGCTAAAAGATAATACGATATTAAATCCATATGTGATTGAAATATTTATCAGTTTAATCATTAAAATGCATAAACTCAATTACACATCCGGGTTAGATTAATTCCTGAAGTTTTGCTCCACAATAAAAATTGCTTAGATATGAGTTCGCCTTTAAAACGTGCAAAGGCGATATACTTTTTAGCCACAGTTCAATGTAATGTGAATTGTTGTCTGCAACTTTTGTATCTAATAAATATCAATGGTTTTGACCAAAAAAAAAAATCCACGGTTCAAAGTATTCATTGATCTACCAAAAGTTATCATAGACGTACCAATTTTTCTACCACAGATAGGAATATAGAGTCTAGAAGATTCTCATTTAATTGAAACACACCAAACTCATTAAACACTCTAACCAGAAGCTCATTTAATTGAAAAGAAAAAGGAATCAATACGTAAAAATTGAACCAATCGATTGAACACATACCAATTATTAAGCTAATTAGTGCTCTAGAAATTTAGAGATGTCAAATGATGAAGAAAAGGAAGACGAAGAGGTTTGGATGACTACGGAGGAGTAGATGGGGGGTGTAGAATGACAACCATGGGAGATGGAAGGATTTTTTAAAGAGAGAAAGAAGGGGCTTTGCTCCATGGAGATGATGGATTGGTTAGGGTTTTATTTTTTATTTTTAAGTAGATTGAGTTGGGTGTAAAAAGAAGTTTGATTGAGTTGAGTTTTGATAAGTAAGGGCGGTTTCAGAAACAACGTTGGGTGTAAAGAGATAATGATAGATCAATCAAATACAATGTGGGTATAAAAAGTAAGTTGAGTGTTGAGATGCAAAATATGGGTTCAAATAAATTTTTTTTTTTAATAAACGATATTATCTCAATTAAAAATGAGGTGCTAAAAATACAAATGCTTATATTTATACAATGCATGTACTTGGTGTACAAGTATCTCATTTTATACAGTAATTACAATCGTGACGAGATTACAACGTCAAATCCTAATACAGTTGACTTTGACGAAGATTCCTCTAACACTTCGTCTCGCCCGCCTCTCCTTCTCTCATTGTTTCATTCGTCTCTCAGCTCCACTGATACGAATGCTTACTGCTCGACAGCAATGGCGATCAATACTCATCCAACGTCAGCTGTACGTACCGACTCGTCCTCTACTTTTTCTGTCTCGTTTTTTCATTAAATTTCTGCTTCATTCTTCGTTTTTGATCGCCTAGGATTCCTTGTTCTATCCGGCATTTTCAAGCCTGCTTGAATTTTGAAAATTCACCTGTTTACAGTAGTTGATTTGCTTGGGTTATAATTCAGTAGATTAGGGTTACTGGGTTAGGTTTTTTGTCGATCAGAGCTCTGATTCCGTTTGTCTTTCCAGCAGCAAGGGCACAAAGCACTCCACTACAATATTATAAGGGTAAAGCTTTCTAGTATCCTGTTTTCACCATTGCTTGTTCGGATGAGCTAGTACAGTCATTTGGTGTTTATTGGTATGTTTAGGTTGTTCGAGATGAGGACCTGGCAGAACAAATTGGAAGGGATATATATTTTGACCTTGTTGATCATGACAAAGTTCGTAAATTCCGTATTCACGAACAAATGCCCTTTAATCTTTTCAAGGTACACTGGTACAGGCTAACTTTTGAGGGCAAACAATTATGAATTCTGTTTTATTAATTATTAGAATTTCTAATTTGGAAATGGCTAACAGGAGGAGGTTGCAAAAGAGTTTGGCATACCTGTGCGGTTTCAGCGTTTCTGGATTTGGGCCAAGAGACAAAACCACACCTGTCGCCCCCATCGACCATTGACACCTGGGGAAGAATCACAATCAGTATGTACTTCACTGATTAAGCCCCCTTAAACTCGGAGGCACTGCTCCTTGTTCCTTTGTAATTCATAATTCTCATTTTGTCTGAATTTTTGCTTTGCTGAGTCCGACTCTGAAGTTTTCAAGTTTATGAACTAATGATGTACGGTTATAACTTATAACTGCCAATTTCTCTTGCAAAATTGGATTTTAAAAAGTTCTTAATGCATATTCCGATGCTCATTATGCTTCCAGTGTTGGACGAGGCATTTTAAATGAAGTTATTATAGTACAAAAAAGGTTGATGGGCGGTGATAAACATTTTCTCTCAGATTTTGAAATGATTGATAGTGTTTAAGCTAATGATGACCGCTTGCATTTTTCAGGTTGGACAATTGATAGAGGTATCAAATAAAACACACAATGCAGAGCTAAGGTTATTTCTGGAAGTAGAGTTTGGGCCGGTAACCAGTCTTACTCTATTCTTGTTACTACCTGTGTAGTGAAGCTTGTTGGAGTTCCAATTGCTGTATGAAAGGATTTTTTTCTTACATTTTATTGTTTCTGTACATTTTCCAGGATCTACGTCCTATTCCTCCGCCTGTCAAAACTAAGGAAGATATCCTTCTTTTCTTTAAGCTTTATGAGCCTGAGAAACAAGAACTACGGTAACTCCTGCTCCTTCTGCGTGGCTGAATATTTTTATCCTTTGCCTTGTGTTTGCTAATTTAAGTTTCTTTTTCTGTTTCCAGTTTTGTTGGTAGGTTTTTCGTGAAGAGTTCTAGTAAACCAGCAGAGATTTTAGGAAAATTAAATCAACTGGCTGGTTTTACCCCTGATGAAGAAATTGAACTTTATGAGGTGTGTTTCACTTTAAATTTTAGCATAAGGTTGTGTCGTAGCTCACACACACACTCATATATATTGTATATAGACGTGTAGAATGTATATGTATATTTATAATTCGTTGCATGCTTTGCTGTAGCATTTTAAGCAAACTTAATATATGTTTTTGTGCTACAATTTCAGGAAATAAAGTTTGAGCCCTGTATCATGTGCGAACACCTTGACAAGAAGACCTCATTTCGATTAAGTCAGGTAACTGTTGCTATATTGCATGCTTGGTATATTACAAATATGTGTGTATTATAGGAATTAACGTTTTGATTCTAGGTATATTTTCAGTTAACCATCGGTTGCGTTCCTTTTCCAGATTGAAGATGGGGATATTATTTGCTTTCAGAAGTCTACTCCTCTTGATAGTGAAGAAGAATGTAAATATACTGATGTTCCTTCATTTTTGGAATACGTACACAATCGCCAGGTACAGGCTGTGGAAACATTTAATTTGTTTTATAGCTATATTTTGTTGAATGTTAAGCAATGACTATGATGACTCCTGCACCGTTGGATGTACGTACCGATTCCTCTACATTTCCACTCTCGGTTTAATTTCATTGGGTTTTGGCTTCGTTCTTCGTTTCTGATCGCCTATGGATCTTGGTGCCGTTCGGCAGCTTCAAACTAGGAGGAATTTTGGGAATTCACCGACTTACAGTGATTGATTTGCTAGGGTTATGATTCAGTAAGATAGGGTTAGGTTTGTCTCGGTCAGAGCTCTGATTTTTGTTTCTTTTGTTAGCAGCAACAGCAAGAGGACGAAGAGATGCTTGTGCCGCACTCGGATTTGGTCGAAGGTCCTCAGCCAGTGGAAGGTTTAATTTTTAGTAATTTTTCGATGGGTTACTGTTTGAATTTCTTATGTTTGTGTTTATGGTGTGGTTTTGGAGCGTTATGTGTGGCGTAGTTGATCTGAAACAATTGATTTTTGTGTGAATTTGGCACCACGGGGTTTGATTAGAGTGCAAGTGGTTGCATCTTCTTTAGGGTTTTGGTTTTGTTGTTTTGAAATTTATGGTATTTGGTGTGTTGGTAGTAGCCCAAGTGGAGCCAGCTTGTACAGTTGATGGTCAACCAGTGGAGGATCTTCCAACAATGAAATTCACTTGGACAATTGAGAACTTTACTAGGTTGAACATCAAGAAGCACTACTCTGACATGTTCGTAGTGGGCGGCTATAAATGGTATTTTTTCTCGTCTACCGGATGTCAAAAACTGATTATAACGCAGCTTAAGATTGGCTTATATTTGTATCTCGGTGATTGGATTCTGAATTGCTTTTGGTTTGTTTGATCAGGCGGATACTAATATTTCCCATGGGAAACAAAGTGGACTACTTGTCAATGTATTTGGATGTGGCAGATTCCGGGACATTGCCATATGGGTGGAGTACATATGCGCACTTCAGCTTGGCTGTAGTTAATCAGATCCATACCAAGTACTCAATAAGAAAGGGTATAATCCTTTATTAGTCTTGTCTCTTTTTAGCATTCAAGTTTGTGCTTTTGCCTGGTTGTTGTATTCTGTTTTCTTTTTTACTTTCAGTGAGAGCTTTGCTTCTTGTTGGGTAGTCATGGGCACCCAAGGCTTTTAATTAGAATTTATTATCCTTGAAATGGACGTAGCTGGTTTTCAACTTCATAGTTCTTAGGTGATGCCATTTGAACCCAATCAATATCTAATTAATCACTCTAATCTTGTTATTGTGAGCTTTTAATTCTAATTTCTCTCTAACATCTTGGCCAACAGCAGCAGCACCATGAACTGACTATGTGCCCATGGCGACTTTATTTGGGGATTTTTGAAGTTTGAGAAAAAGTGAATCAAAAAATTATGGAGTAAAACGTACCAACAGATGTTAGAAGTAAATTGAAAACCAATAGATTATTCCTTTTACGTATCTAGATGTCAAATATAGATTAACAGTAAAGGTAGAAACAGGAAGAATTTACTTGGAAATTATGTGCAATTAAGCAAGAATTCTAGGTAATGAAAAGGCTAACTGAATCAAGGGTTTCCATTTATTAAGGGATGATCTTGCGGCGGGTCTGGCGATCAGATATGGTAAAGAATTGTATTTTATTGGTGTGGCCTATGTTGTAGAACATTAATTTGCAATGCGTTTAACCATAACTGAACAATCTTTAATCATATTCAAGATGTTTTTTAAGACCTTTGTCTTTGATTGTTGTATGATGTTGCAGACACTCTGCACCAATTCAATGCAAGAGAAAGTGACTGGGGATTCACTTCATTCATGCCTCTTGTTGAACTTTATGGCCCGAGCAGGGGATATCTGGTGAACGATACAGTAGTGGTTGAAGCTGAGGTTGCTGTCCGTAAGGTTCTTGATTACTGATCATATGACTCGAAAAAGGAAACTGGTTATGTTGGGCTCAAGAATCAGGGTGAAATTTGACGTCATGCAGTAAACTATAAAGTGAACTGTGATATTTGATGAGGATTGATATATTCATTTACGACTCAAAACTGGTAAGTTTCTAAATGCACATAAGGGCACGGAAAGTTTGTCAACATCGATCTTATTCTACCCTAATGTCATTCTTATTTGCATTCATTTTTCTTGCTCAATGAAGACACTACATCGATAACGATATTCTCTGAGTTACACGGTGCATCATACATATTCATAAACTTATCCAGAGTTCTCAACGCCATTTATTACATTACCTCACATCTTGGTCGATTCAATTGGGTTTAGATAAATTTGCACATTTTAACTTGTATCAATTGGATGGAGAAAACAAAAAAAAAAAAAAAAGCCTTCATCTGCAAGGAGACTACTGATTTAGCCAAGTGAAATCCACAAACCATGCGTAAATCTGCTATGAAGCATTCTCAAACAATGTTCCAAGACCAGACGTTGAACAATGACAAACCTGAGCTCTCTCGTGGTCTATAACTTTGGGGTTGCTAAAACGGGAAACCTTTAGGATATCATTTTTAACACTCAAGCACAATTAGCATGGAAACTTTATCACTAGATAGATACTTCACTATCCAACATTCAACATCTTACATCTATCAGAATAATAGTCAATTTCTCGGCCATTCAATAGATACTTCTCTCTATATTTTATCACCATAGGGATTCCAAATGCCGGTATAAGAGTCGTTCCCATTATCATGAATCATGATGCAGGTAACTAAAGCATGACCTTGCAATACAGTGTATGCAGATTTGAAAACATAAATGCAATCACAATAAACACGACGCAGCTTCATACCTCCCAAGATGCTAGACTTTTCATGTAGGAAGGAAGGCTCTCGTAGTCATCCCCGGGATACCTTTACAAGAGGCAAAGGAACTTCAGCTAGCTTTGGTTTATCCTCAACTTCCCCTACATTTATTCAAAAGCAATGCCAAACATCAATGGGCAATCGTCATAAGATTTTGTTCCCAGCTAAACCGATGATTTTCAGTGGAAACATACTACAAAATACAATTACATACCGAAATCAGATAGCAATCCATCTCTGGGAGCTCCTGAGGTCTTCGTGGAAGCATCATACGACCCCTTAAAGGACTTAAAACTCATGCATAGCTATATCAGGTTCCTCACTTTTAGCATTAGCTGCAGCAGAGTGGGCGACAGAACTGAAAGCGTCAATTGCATCAGCGAAAATTAAACTGAAACTAAGAAAACAAGTACGCAAAATTCGAGCATTGTGAACTAGAAATCACAAACAAACAGATATACGGGTTTTGATTTCAATTTCTGACCTTTAGATGCTAAAGTGGCAAGAGACGCATCCGAAAGCCTGAGCTTCTTCAAACTCAAAGACTTGTCCAATGTAATCGAAACACCACTGAGAAAACACAAATCAAAATTCCAATTCCCAATTTTTTAATTTTAAGTACAAATTCCTATTAAGGATACAAATCTCCTTCTTCATCAATGACAGGTGCATAGAATCCGTCCTCTTGAACAACCGGCGTCCTCAAAGTCGTCCTCGTCAATCTCAAGTTCTGCAGAAACTACCATAATTAATAATTTATTACGAATAATTAATTTTAAGGGCGTGTTTGGCTGGCGAGAAAACTAGTACCGGCGACGGTGGAGGGGGAGAGATGGCATTGGAGGTGGAGGAGGCGGGTTTGGTTTTCTTTGGACCTCGCAGCAGTGTCCCAAGAGCTCCTCGAAGGGGACGGTGCCGAACGACATCGTTTCAAGGAGGTTGAGTTGGGTGCTGGCGGCGGAGATGCGGCGGTTGAGGGATTGGAGGAAGTTGGACAACGCCGTATCGAGAGGGATGGGGCGGCGGTCGACAGAAGCTTTGAGGGCGTCGCAGCTGCTGTGGAGGTGGTTGCAGAAGGACGCTACGCCCTTGCACAAGCTCCGAATCGATTCCTCCATTTCTCTCTCTCTCTTGCATTCTGAACCCTTCCGTTTGGCTCCGTTTTTCATTCGGAATTAAATGGGCGGGAAGTAGATGTAGAAGAACAATAACTTTAAAGTAGGTATATGATATCAACAAGCGCCTGTAGCTCAGTGGATAGAGCGTCTGTTTCCTAAGCAGAAGGCCGTAGGTTCGACCCCTACCTGGCGCGAACTAATTTTTACTTTCATTCTTTTTGCTCCTTTATATTTTTAAGTAACAATTTAACAAACATTGCTGAAATCTTCAGCTATTCCGAGTCCTCACATGATCTATGGAAATCTGTAAAGGACATGTATGGGAATCAAAACAATTATGCACGAGTTAAAGAGAGACATTGCCAGTCTTCAACAAGATGGAAAATCCTTTGTGTAGCACTTGGGAAGTCTCAAGACTATGTGGAATGAGTTAGATATTTATCTACCTCATACCATTGACAATGTTGTTCTTCTGAAAAGGGTAGAAGAAGACAAGATATATCAGTTGCTTGCTAGCTTGAACTCAGACTATGAGGATCTCAGGAGCCACATCCTGATGAATGTCGAACTTCCTTCGTTCAAAACGGTGTGTGCCACTGTTCAACGTGCAAAAGCTAGAAGAAGGGTGATGAACTTGGAGAAGAATCCCAAAATTTCTGAATCTAGAGTCTACGCTGTAAAACATAAACCCTCAGACAATAGGCCTTACAAGGGTAAAAATCCACATTTGAAGTGCAGTTACTGTGATGTAGTAGGTCACGTTGAGGAAAAGTGTTGGATTCTGCATCGCGAATTGAAACCTAAGTTCAACAAGGATAACAAAATGATTCCTTCAAGGCAACCCAGCGTTGCCTTATACAAACCTCAGCATGCTGCCAATCACAACTACAGTTCATTCCTTGATGGTATTCAGGACTTCACTTCAAATCATGTCTCACTCATCAGTGAATTTGCAATATACTTGCAAAACAAGGGACATAAAGAAGCTGCTGAAAGCTCAAAGGCTACAAATGAAAATCCCACTGCGCTACTAGGCCAATTCGTAGGTTTCTTTGCTGAAAATGAGAATATAGCAAGAAGCAAAGCTCCAGATATTTTTAGTGCTTTCTTAACTGCTCTACACACTAGTATTGAACATGATTGTTGGATTATCGACTCAGGAGCAATTGACCATATGACAAACTAAGCCTCCAACTTACACAGTTTTCAAACCTTGTCAAAACCTTCTCATGTATCAGTTGCTAATGGAAAATATGCCATGGTTTTGGGCGTGGGAAAAGTCAAATTGCTTTCAAACAACCTTGAGTCTACTACACTATTTGTTCCTACCTTTCCCTTTCAACTTTTGTCAATAAGGAAGGTCACTAGAACCCTAAATTGTCTTGTCACTTTCTCAACAAGCAGTGTTGTGTTTCATGATTCTCTCACCAAGAAGACGATTGGTGAAGGTTTTTTTTTTTTTTAATGGTCTTGACTATCTATGCATCATCTAGTCAAAGCCTTCCAAGTTGATTCAATCTCTCCCAAGGACCAATAAATCTGGCATCAAAGATTAGCCCATCCATTAGAGGTTGTTTTGTTTAAACTTTTTCTCAAAATGTACCAATCATCTATAATGTGTGATACATGTCAGTTCTCCAAGTTTACTAGACTCCCTTTTAGTTCTTCAATGTCTAGGGCTAGCAAACTTTTTGAACTTGTACACTCCGTTGTTTGGGGTCCAACTATTGAATCTTTTGATGGATATAAATATTTTGTTATCTTTGTGGATGACTTTACTAGGCTATATCTCTTGAAATCCAAAAATGAGGTCTTCTCTATGTTTAAAGACTTTCATCAACTTGTCATAACTCAATTTCAGTCAACCATTCAGAACCTAAGAACCGATAATGGCACCAAGTTCTTATCCAACAATATGAATCAATATTTGAGCTCTCATGGTATTATCCACTAGACAAGTTGGGTGGGAACGCCACAACAAAATGGGATCTCTGAAAGGAAGAGTAGGGATTTACTTGAGAAGACCCATGCATTGATGTTGCATATGAACGTACCAAAGAAATTTTGGTCACAAGCAATTCTTACTGCAACTTATTCAATCAACCAATTGCCTAGTTGTGTTTTAGAGTTTAAGTCTCCTTATGAAACTATTAAAGGAAGGCCTATAACTCTATCACATTTGAGGGTATTTGGCTACTTGCATCGTGACAAACTGGATGCTAAGGCTGCGAAGTGTGTCTTCATGGGGTATTCATCAACTCAAAAAGATTACAAATGTTATCAAAATGTTTATGTATAGGGATGTAAAATTTGAGGAAACTGTTCCATATTTCTCCAAGAAGGTTGCTCACTCTCGAGAGGGGGAGCTAATGTGTGACTTATTTCATTTGCCTGCGTTCATTGACACTTAGTGCATTTGGATCCTGAAGCCACTAGCAATCATGGACAATAAGAGATTGTGATCGACACTAGTCATGTGTCTCCTCAACCTAGCAATCTGGGGGATGGTAATGAGTCTACTCAAGATGAAAGTCACGAGGAGGTTCCCACTTCGCCTCCTACAAGGCGTAAACCTGTGAGTGCTCGACAACCTCTAGCAAGGCTCCGAGACTATGTCACATTTACTTCCAAACACCCCCATCACTGAGGTGTGGAATTATAGTAGTGTTTTTCCAATCATGCTACGTTCTTGGCTGAAATTTCCCATCACATTGAACAACGAACCTTTCAAGAAGCTCAACTAATTCCTGAGTGGAGAAATGATATAAAGGATGAACTTTGTGCCTTGGAGAACAATCAAACATGGAGCATTGTGAAGTTACCATCGGGGAAGAAAGCTGTTAGGAGTAGATAGATCTATAAGATAAAGTTCAAGGCTGATGGATCAATTGAACATCACAAGGCCATATTGGTTGTGCATGGTTTTACTCAAACATTTAGAGTAGACTACAAGGAGACATTCACTCCAGTAGCCAAAATGAACTCTATTAGGGTTCTTCTTTCAATGGCTGTGAATTACCGTTACTAGTGAATTCTTTTATGTTAACGAGGTTACCAACCAAAGCAAGCAGCCGCTTCCTCCCCCCTCCCTGATATCTAGATTTGCATACGCTATACATGAGCAGTTTTCTAAACATAATCGCCTACATTCTTTAAGGCTCATGCTTTTATTAAACCATAAAGAAGATGTGTCTAGCAATTTAATCCCATTATACTTGAGGAAGCCATCTCCATGGCTGCAGGCCAACGGAATCTTTTGAATGAACCTATCGGACCAGTATCCTGAGTTCCAATCTTTTGGAGATTTTGGTGCAAATCCCTTCAAGCATGCACATATGGGAACACGATTGATATTGCAAGTAGTATATACACCACACAAGAAATAAGTTTCATACTGATCTGCATGAAAATGCCCAACTCTGTGTTTGGTGCACCCATGTGAACAGCTCCCCAACGCCTAACGGGTTCAATATATATCTGGCGAACACCGACCTTTTTTGGAGCGTGTACTTATAGTAGACCTCATCCTTGTTCAACCCAAATTCGGCCCCAGCTATTGGATTTAGTTCTCTTTTTCCTCTAAATTCATATCCTGTTAAATGAATGCCAGTCCATGACCTTCCTCTAACCTGTATCTTCTCTCCTTTCATAGTAAAAAGTTGTGGTAAGCCACAATGAATTATCCATAGCGAAAACTCTCCTTGAGCAGGATCTTTTGTGCTCTTCCAAGACGAGACATACCTCTCTAAACCGCTAGCTAAGTTCCAACCAAGCTTCATTTCCGGCAGCAATGTGTCACAAGGATAATTGAAACTTTGCCACAAGTAGTTATAAGGGTTAGTTTCATTTCTGTACTTTACAATAAGATTTCTAGTATCCAAGAGTTGTGATACTGGATTCCCCACGGTTCTTGATGAATTTGATGACCATACAATGCTGTTTGAGCTATTAAGGAGGACTAAAACTCCTTGCTAAGTGAAATTCAGACGTCCCGAAGAATCACCAAGTGGTGTTCCTCGGTTGGCTATCCAAACAACTCTATAAGTAGAAACTGCGTACCATATCCCCAAGACCAGCCTTTCGAGTTACCAAGGCTGAAGAATCCCAGTTCAAAGTCTTCACCAGCCGAAACCAGAGTTTCACCATCTCTAATAAATCGAATAAGAGTGATTGTTCCTGGTGTAGTGGCAAATGCGATTCTTAGGAAGGAGAATAGACACAAAGACATGAAAAACCTTGTCAAGGATTGCATTGGCATCATTTCTACAGAGAAGTTGGAAGAAGGAAAAAGGTTTACACGACTTCAGGCAGATAAAGCAGCTACAAAAGCTGAGCCAGTCAATCAAGTAGGTGGTTTTGGATTAGTTCCTGGGATTTTATCCGAAGAAGAATACATTTAACATTGTCAAGTATTATTTAGTTAGACTTGGGTCCCTTGTTTGAAAAGACTAAGCAAAGGTCACAATTACATGCCATTCCCCAAGGAGTAAGTTGACAGCCAGCCAATATATTGACCACTTCTCCAATGGAGGGAAACTTCAACCTGAGACAAAAATGCCATCAAATAAGATACTACTCTGATGTGCTGCTGCAAGGATTGTAGGTTTACAGCACGCCCATATGGAGTGACGCTAGTAGAGGCACTGTAATATACAAGCCCATTGAATGCATGAACAAAAAGTGGAATTTTGTCGCTACTCTTCACACCCAGAGAAACAGATATGCCGTAAACGTGGGGTTATGGTGGATTCAACCCAACGACAGCCATTAATCTAGGCATTAAAGCAATTGTGGCAGCCATGTAGTGGGTGCCGAGGGAGACAATGTGTCAAAACATTTAGGACGACCAAAAACCAGAGAATCAAAATAACTTAAGCAAATAACATATACAATGTGCATCTTATTTTCCTATTAGTTCTCAGATCTCTAAATGAGATGGAGTAGTAAGCCAAACAGACCACATGCTATCTGGAGCTTTAGATGAGAAATGATATCCCAAATTTTGTATCTTAAGTGCTAGTGTTTGGATCCAATATTACATGATTGGTATGTGCAATTAAGGGAGAGATTTATTATTGTGACCGACACACGGAGTGGTACACCAGGTGTCACTATACAAATGGTGGGATATGTGTGTTAAAAAGTTAATAACTTAAAAAGTAAAATTTTCTACCACTTACATAAAAATATGTGGTGTATCACCTGTGTTCACAAAGAAAAAGTTCTCCAATTAAGGCCATTGAGTAAACAAAGTTCTAGATTGTTAGGAGGAAAGTTGTTAAGATAATTTTGATATTATTAAAGGATAATATTATGGTATTTTATCATAATAGGTTTTTTTAATAATGAATTATCACTACAAAAAATATGGGCAATGCGCACAATAAATTATGGTGCCCTTTGCGGCCAAAGGGCACCAACATAGGTGCCCATAGACCAATAGGAACAGTGCAACAACTATAATATTATGTGTGCCCTCTAAGAGTGTTGCCTTGGACCGTTGGGAACAATATGGTCTTTTGTGCTCAAAGAGGTAAGCACAAATAAGGGTCTTTTTGTGCCTCTTTTTTGACACCAGTGTCAGATGCCTTGCCCAAATCATGTTAGCACAATTTGTTATTGTGCCTAATAGGTTAAATATGTATATAAAAAAAATTCAAATATTACAAAATAAAATCAAATAGTAATACTATCAATAAGAAATTATTCATACAGATAATGAAAACAATTCCTAATACATTTTTTCTTCCATGAAAAACTCAACTAAACCTAAGAATCTAACAATGTAACAAATACCATTACTCTTTGAGTTCCTCACAAGCCAAACAACCTTCAGCCCCTGCTCCAGCCTCTAAAAATGAACATGAGTAAGAAATGTATCATGCAGTAAAAGCAGTGATGCTGACACATTGCTACTTAATTATACCAAATTACAACAGACAAAATATGCAACTAAAATGAGCAACTTAACTATCATCACTAGCAAACAAGATGTACAAAAAATTAATTTCTAAGAAAGAGATCATCTGCTAAAAACCTTGTAGGTTTTGCAAAGTACAAGCTAATAAATAAGTATATTGAAATCCAACCTTGCTTATAATCTGTCTTTCATGCTTCTACTTGGCAGGGGAACTACACAACATTCCACAATATAACATACAAGATCATCGTAAGTTATCATTTATTAGTTTATAAGTTGGAAGAGAGGTGAAAGACTCTACAACAAACAGTTTATAACCTCAGAATAGCAATGCAAAATTTTAAAACGAAGATTTCATTCAACTTATAGATGTTTCCTTTCAAACACTATGTAGCAAGTGTCGACACAAATGCTAACCAAAACCAGAAAAAGAAAATGAAATTCCGGAGGGCCAGAGCTCATAGAGGAACTCATAGCTTGACTACTGCTGTCACTGCCAGAGCCTGGCTCAACAATTGACTTCTCCTGAATCAAAATAGTTGATGAACATGGCACAAACCACACAGTAAATTCAACTCCAAAAACATTTCGAACAAGAAATTGAGCTAACAACGGTTCAGTTACACCATGCTTAAGGAAACCAAAGACATGCAACATAATTTAGGGAAGTTTTAAATAATAAAAACTAGAAGCTTATCAAATTACCAATAGTGGAAATGCTACATAATTTTATCAAATTTACAGTCCCATACAGCAAAAATCAAGATAATAAACTATTTTTAATTGCCCAAATCCTAATATTTCATATAAATGTGGAAATCATGGAAATTCTATAAAATTCCAACTTTCTCCATCAAACCATATCCAACCGTTGGCCTAAAACCTAAAATCTTTAGCCCAGAAAATTTAGGTTTTGACCTAGAAACAACTTTTCTGCTCCAACCCTTCTGACCTAAAATTTTAGCCCCAGATTATTAAAAAAAGAATCTAGGCTAATTTTTTTTTAAATTAACTTTTTAAGAAAAATTATGTTGACTATCCTAAATTAATTTTATGAGCATTTTAACCAAAAAATATTTAAATTCCGATAAATATTGAAAAATCACTAAATCGATACATGAAACACTATGGAAGAATATGAAAACCATCATAGAGATGTATAAACATAAAATACATGAAACACACAACACACAGAACACATATGAAGCACATACAAAACACATGATAGAGATGTATAACACACCAAACATGTGAAACACATGACACACACGAAACACATACCAAATACATACAAAACACATGAAACGCATGAAACACAAACCTACACACATGAACCACAAACCTTCAATCATTCTCTATGTAACCATATGTTGAATATATAACCATCACACAACATGTTCACCAATCTTCCAACTTTCAAAGTGTTTTTGTTTCCTCAAAATCATCAATATCTCATCAATGGGTGACAGAAGAAGGCGTAGCTTGGCAATGCAGATAGCACAATACCAAGTAAGCCTTGCAACTTTGGATGCAAAAATGAACAACGAATAAGCTGAATTTGCAAACTCGCTTATGCAATATGAGCACCATGCCGAATCTAGCTATCGTGGTTCACCGGGCGTTCATTTATACAACGTGATAAAGAAGAGTGTCATGACCAGATGATGAAAGATTATTTCATCGAATGTCCAAGATATCCTCCTCATGATTTTTGGAGGCGGTATTGGATAAGGAGAGAGCTTTTTGAAAGCATCTTGAACGTAGTTGTCCATCATGACCATTACTTTGCAAGGAAGATAGATGTCGTAGGCCGACAAAAGTTTATCACCTCATCTGAAGCTCATATTTGTATTTCAGATGCTAGATAATGGGTGCTCTATAGACTCAATTGACGAATATTGTCGACTTGTGGAGAGTACTACTATTGAGAACCTCAAGCGCTTTTGTAAGGCAATTGAAGCCATATATGGAGCCACATACCTCCGTAAGCCAAATCGTGAAGCCTTGAAGAGGCTTCTACGCAAGGCAGATAAAAGAGGCTTTCCTGGCATGATAGGAAGTCTCGATTGTATGCATTGGGAGTGGAAGAATTGTCTTACTGCTTAGGCTGGCCAATTCAAGGCCGTCACAACAAGTCAACCATCGTGCTCGAGGCTATGACGTCTTACAACACATGGATTTGGCATGCATTCTTCGGCGCTCCTAGATCAAACAACGATATCAACGTTCTTTGGTCTTCTCCTCTTTTCGATGATGTTGTCAATGGATGGGCACCGGAATAGAGGTATAAGGTAAATGGTAATAGGCATGAGTTAGGTTACTACTTAACTGATGGTATTTATCCTAGTTAGTCTACCTTTGTGAAAAGTTATTCTTATCCTAATAGTGCGAAGAAGAAATTATTTTCGCAGAAACAAGAGTCTTACAGGAAAGATGTGGAGAGAGTGTTCAAGATCCTACAAGCTCGATGGGCCATTGTTAGAGGGATTGCATGATTGTGGAATGTGGAAGACTTCCATTCAATCATGATGATGTGCATAATTTTGCACAACATGATTGTGGAAGATGAGTATGTATAAATTGAAGAAGATTTTGACGAAGATGTGGATGATGACCAACCAACATATGCGAAAGCTATGGCAAGATATGTTGAATATCTTGCTGCAACCGCATACGAGACTTAACAGGATAGGGTCACACTGAGTGAGTATATGAGAGGTTTAAATGGAATTTAAGCTCCTCAAGGTCATGACACACTCCGTAAGGATTTGGTTGAGCATATATGGCGCCGAGAAAGAGAACGTTGATGATGGATAATCTTAAGTGTATTAATGTGCTATGTTGATGTATTAATGTGTTCTTGTGTTAAATTTAAGTATGTTGTTAAAATTATGTAATCATTTTAAGTGTACTATGTTGGTATTTTCTAGTAATAAATTGAAGTCTCTTCTCGTGACAAGTCTTTTGTCTAGTACGTTGTCAAAATTATTGAAGCCATCTATTATATATCAAAGTGTGCAACAATAAGTACAATAATTATTGAAGACATCTAGATTAATAGAAACAATAATTAATAAGCCATAAATTTAATACACACGATAATTAATAAGTCATAAACTTAATACAAACGACAATTAATAAACCACATAAATCACATAAACTTAATAATGATATCCACCATCTTGACTTGGTGGTGGACTTTGTGGTGGACTTGGGATATAACCTTGAGACGAATCATCATCTTGAAATATACTCCTTGTAGCATGCCTTCGCAAAATTTCCTTTTGCTTATCACGTAAGAATTTCTTCCTTTCTGGGGTGTATTTGATGAGGTCCTCCATCATGAAATTACATTCAAACCTTTCTTGCTCCATATTCCCTTCGTGTGTAATGGCCAAACGCATTTGGGCCGCTTCTTCCTGCCGAGAGCTATGGCTTTCGATCAATCTTGCAAATCCAGTAGCAATTTATGCACTAATCGGATCTTGGGACTTCCCTTTTTTCTTTACTTCCTTTTGCTTATCCTTTCCCGAGGGCCTTGCAAAAGAAGAAGTTGGGGTCAATTCATCGACACCTTCATTGACATCATTTGTCTATGCGGTTTCACTATGAAATAATCTTCCCCATTGTCGGTTCGCATTGGTTCCCCACCTCGGACAATCCTTGAGGACATTCCAAGCATGATGCAACTTAAAAGCTTGATTTTTTGGTGTAGTTCTTGTCTTATAAATTGCCATTACTTTGTCACCCTATGCAAGAAATACAGAAAAACAATTAGTTGCAAAATATTGTACATGACAAATAAAATATCAACAAAGAAACTCACAACTTCTGCGGCGCTCCTTCCACTAGTCATGTCAATCACGGCTCTCTCCAAGCTTCCCTTCCATAAAGTGCACGCTTTGTTGATAACCTTCCACCAATCATAAACACCACCACCTTCCTTTCGGCCGGCGTTGGAGTTTCAATTGTACTTATCAACGATTTTAGCCCATAGAACCTTTTTATTTTGATTCGTGCCAACGGCACCATCTTCACTAATAGAAACCCATGCCAAGCATAAAGCAACATCTTCCTCACAAGTCCAATTACGACCTCTAATATGCTCTTTTGCCATCTTGAAAAATTTGGAAATTGGAAGGAATGGTAGAAAGAAAAATTGGAAGATTTGTAAGAGAAACATGAGTTTTTGTGGATGTTTGAACAAATAGATAGGTATTTATAGAGTTTTTGGGTGAATTTTGAGTTAAATCATTTTAGCCATTGGATTTAAATTTGGGCTGTTAGATCTTTTTTTTTTTTTTTAACCGTTAGATTTGATTATATTCAATCTCAGCCATTAGATTCAACAAATATAAAAAAAAAAAATTATGTAGGCTGTTGGATCAACCAACGACCTGTTAATCTAAGCCACTGGATTAAAGAGAGCTGTTGGCTCTCTAGCGCAAGTGGGCGACATGCCCATGTGGGTAGGGCCATGCCGGTCTTAGTTGAGGCGCGTTGCCCGTGTGGAGCGCGTTTCCGGGGGAAGTCTAGCACTCAAGCGTGGGTTTTCACGAGCAATGATGGGGCCCACACCATTTTATGAGCTAGTTTCTAGCTTTTTTTAGGTTTTAGGTTTTAGGCCCAAATTAGAACTTGGGTCGGATTGGATTGGGGGGAATAGAAGGGGAAAAATAGGTTTTAGGCCATGGGTTGGAGTTGGCCTCAGAACAACTTTGAGCTTCACAGCTAAAACACAACAAGGATAAATTGGGAAACATGCAAGCTATTCAATTGTGTTATCAAATTAGAATCCTTCATTATGTGTTGTTGGAAGGCTTTTAGGTTTACCTCAGGCCCATCTGGAGGCTACACGCTGGCCACTACAGCACACTGCGCAGCCAGCGCGCCGCGAGTACAGCTTGCATTCACCTTTTCTGACAAGGCCAAGAGTGGCCGATTTTTGGGAAAACCTTCCAGAGCTCGATTCGAGCTCATTTCTCCTAGTCGATTTGTGCTAAACCATGCATAGAGTACATCAGTATGATCCTAAACAACGAATGGAAACAATACATGAATACGAGCCTAAACAACGATTGGAAACCATTTAAGGTGTTTTCGAAGCTAACCTTCGCTGGAATCGACGATATTTATCGTCGGGAAGTCGAGTCACGATGGTGCTCGTAGGTTCGTTAGTTTCCCATTCGATTTTTTGGGAACAAAGAGTAAGGTTAAGCTCTGCATGTCGAGGTGAGTTTTCTTGATTTTTCTCTAGACAAAGGTTCAGATTGTTAGATATAGGAAATTATGGAAACTTATGGTTCCATTAATATGAATCAAGAAACTTATGGTTCCATGAATATGATTCAATGAACTTTTAAGCAAAAATGTTTTTTAATATCATATGCTTCCACATGAATTCAAGGGCATTATGAATTCAGGAAAAGTATCTCTTGTATAAGATGTCGATGGTAACAAAATCGAGTTTTGTTAAGTTCACCATTTTCTTATTCCCAAAAAGGAAGAAATTTAGGTATGACGAAACTTGCGATAATTAATTCATACCATATAAACACATGTCTAAACAAAATGCTAGAACTTCAAGTTCTTAACATTATTTATATTTTGAGCTTTAGGTCAAAACATTATACATATGTACTCAAAATATATTCTCCAGACTGACATTATTAGAACCCTTAGATTCATATTTTTCAAATTCATGCCCATACTTAATCTGTACATGGATTAAGCATTTATGGTCCTCATTTACATGAACCAAGGAACTTCTGATCCTTATTTAATAGTCTGTGGATTGAGGTGTTTATGGCCGTCATTTCAATTAAGTTGACGAACTGCTGTTCTCTTAATTGATTCAAGAACTTCAAGTTTTAATTTTTGATCAAGGAACTTCGTGTCCGATTTTTTTATATGATGGAATTTCATGTTCAATTCTTTTATATGATGAGGATCAAGGAACTTTAGGTTCTAATTTGGTTAAGGAGTTTTAGGTCTTATATATACTCATCATAAAAAATGTAGTACAATAAATAAATTAAAGCAAAGGGGGGTAATTCCAGCCATTATAAATAAATTGCTTTAAATAAGTAATGATTGTGACAATGGCTTTAATTTAGCACCATTCACATAAATATCAAAACTTAAATGCAATAATTATTATTATAAGAAGGGCGACAATGCGGCGCACGTCATTCACATTATAATATTGTTGATCCTAAAAACTACTTAGCCTACATGCGCGCAGGCCGTGTAATTAATAAGCTAACTACGTCTTTCGATCAAATGCAGGGCGTGCCAACTCGTCAGTCGAGTTCAGCTGGTGAGTAAAATATGTTGAAGTGGCATTGGGCACGCTGCTGGCTTCTTGATCTCACGACTACAGCCGAGGAAGGAAAACGTCTAGGCCTTCAGGTTCTAGAGCCTAAAGACAAGGTTGCTAGTTTTGTGAAGTTCAATATTAAATTCGATTTTTAGTATGCCGAATGTATTAACCTGGTAACACCTCACTTTGCCTAGAAGGCTGATGAGATGACCTCTTCCAACAAGGACTCGAAAATCCTTGTTGACCGAGACTTGGACAGGTAACCAATTGATCTCGAAGCAATGTTGGTTATCCAAACTGAATGTGCTCCTCGGTCGGCTGATTCTACGGCTCCAGTGTTGTTTATCCAAATTGAAGATGTTGCCGGTTGCCTCTACAATGCTGTTTATCCAAATTGAATATGTGTTGGCGGGAAAAAAGAAATAAAAATTTCAACGTGTTTGAGAGGTTTGCACAGGGCAGCTGTGTGTTGATTGGAAGGGTTTTCCATGTTGCACGACCTCTTGTATTTATAATAACCGAAAACTTACTAGCCAACCCATGTAGTTCCAATCGATAGCAGAACAATTTTCTTGAGATAATTATCACAAAAACCCTTGCCATCGTCTCGATATCTTGAAAGGGTTGGCAATTGCACTTTCCTTCTATTAAGACTAGATACACTAGTCACTTGATGAGGCTCATATTTAGAATTGTTGCCAACTCCAAATTTCCATGCACCACGTGCCATATCTTATCACCCATTCACCAGATCATCATGACAATTCCAGTTTAAACTGAAATA